TATCAGCATTATCATTATCATTATCATTATCATCATCATCATCATCATTATCATTATCATCATCATCATCATTACTATTACTATTACTATTACTATTATGCCTTGGTGTTTCACACTTAATGTACATACATGGCTGACATTAAGTTGTTTGCAAACTCTCCTAATAAATTGCAGTGTCTTAAACATTGTTTAAATGTACAGTACAGATATCAAAACAAACTATGCTGTTGATAACTGCGCTATTACCCACATAAAAAGAGGTAAATTCTCAGAGGGCAGTAACTGTGAACCCAATAATCAACGGTTTATTCAATGCTTAACGAAGCAGAAAACCTATAAACATTTAAGCATCTATGAAAATCTTAATATATACCACAAGGAACTCATTCCAGAACAAGTGAAGGCAGTTCTCCATGCAAAAGGGAAAATTACTGTCATCAATACTTGAGCAACCTCAGTTTTAACATATTTTGGAACTGTGGACCAGGTATATAGTGATCTTTATTATTTAAATAGGAAAACCTGAGTTGTCCTATCAAAATACCAGTGCTATCATCCAAAGACCTGTAGCACCTTTACTTGCCACAAATTATGCATTGGCATGGGCTTGTTGACCTCAAGAATCTCTTATGGGTCAAATAGTCAAATGTTGAAACTACTTCCTAGGAGCACAGTTCCAGTTCATCAGATGGTAATAGAAAATGATATACGACTTAAAGTATTACAACTCACAAATAAGAATCAATCTACATTAACTAAACACCTCTGGTGCTGAGCGGCATGACTTATTAAACAATTACATGGACAGCACCCCAGTTATCCCCTGGGTGATAATGTTAATAAGCAATAATTGAAACCTGTGGCTTAGACAAGGCCAGCTTCATGTTAAAACTGAGGAATTCATTGGTACAACCCAAAACCAAATTATTTGCATTAGATACTAACAGAAAATAATTTTAATTTGTAAGTAATATATGTAGGGTCTGTCTTAAATTTAGAGAAACAATTCATTATGTCATAGCCGGATACAATAACGTAGTATCAAGGGATTATATATCCAGAAACAATTAAATTATGAAGATTATTTCTCAGCAGTTGGCTAAATCCTATGGATTACTCACATTTTTCCATATTATAAATTCCAGCCATCTTGAGTTTTACAAACTGAAATTGACAGTGCTATAATAGACCAAGCAAGTTATCATGGCTAAAACAGTTTCTTTATTTTTTTATTTATTTAAAATATTTTTGTCCTGCTTTTCTCCTTAAAAAGAACCCAAGCCTAATATTATACTTCTAGATAAGCAACAAAGAAAAGCATACCTTACAGAAGTTGGAGTTACATCAACAAGCAACCACAAAAATACAGAAAGTACAAAAATTGCAAAGTACCAAACATTAGGGCAAGAAATTAAATAAGTATGGAAACAAGATCATGTCGTCATCCTCCATACACTAATTTCATCCTCCTCCATACACTAATTTCAGCAATTGGAGTCATTCCAAAATCTTTGATTACCAATTTAAAACAATTGCCAATAGCTGCTAATTTGCTTCCTGAAATTCAAAAATCTGTGATTTTTGCTATTATATTATCTGACAACAAGAACAATAGCTGACTTACAAATGCACTAGAATGATCTATATACCTCTTAACATGTGTGGCAAAAAGTCAAACAATATGCATTGTGACCATTATGAAAAGATACAGGATTCTGGCCAATGACACCAGGTGAAAAGCTTAGGAAGCAGTGACACTGACAGAGGAATCACCAGGCTTAAGAAGTCCGGCAGAACTAGAGACCATTGAGCCTGAACCAATTACTCTAACTTCAGCACATCCAGCAACAAAGATGCATACTATGGATAAGTGCCAACCTCGGCAAAGCACTCAATATGAGTCCTTTGAGTAGTGGAGCTGTGTTAGGTTCCAGGCAAGAAACCTGGCCTTTTGAAGCATTTTATTTAAAGGAAGGGATGGTGCCTGAAAGTGCCATATATGCACTAAAGCAGTTATGGCCTCACTCTAGTCATTTTTTTAAAAGTAGGCTGCTGACTGGTTAGGCTTCAGAAAAAGACTTCTTAACTGTTAGAGCAGAATGACAATGGAACTAATACCTTGAGAGTTGGAGGGCACTGCAATGCTGGAGGCGTCCAAGAGAAAATTGGACAACCAGATGACTTATATACTTTGATTTGGATACCTGCACTGAGTAGGGGATTGGACTTGATGGCCTTATCACTCCCTTCCAACTCAATCATTCTATGCTTGTATGGTTCTACAACTAGGAACTATCCTATGAACTGCTCCATCTAGTCCGCCTGTCCTCTGTTGGAATTATGAACCTAGCAGGCTGATGGGCTTTGTGGTGATCACCGGATAATTGGGATAGCAAGGAGTCTCATAGAAATAGAGAGGTTAAAGAAGTCAGTCACACACAGAGATGGATGTCTGCCAGCAGTGCTCCTGGTGGGTGGCTAGAAGAAGAGGCAGAATAACGCCGAATGGGTTCCCAATGAATTCTGCCCTGCCCCCAGGAGGACTGTGCTTTTATTAACATTACAAGCTCACAGACAGTGACAGCATACAGATAGGTTACAGGGTTCAGATAGGGCGATGGTTACATCATGCCTTTAGGGTTGGCCTAGGGAAAGGCAATTAAGCAAGCTCTCTACACTGAAGAATCAGCCAACAGCTTAGCAACTTTGGGGAGAAATCCCCCCACAGTCCTCAGCCCTGTGTTCTAAGAATCCATGACAAACATCTGCCTGGCCCCCTGTATGTCAACAAAATACTGGTATTATTGGATGGGTTCTGGATGTTTTTGCTGTGGCCCGTGATGGAACACAGGAGTTTAGATAACTTGCTATCTGTCATTTTCTTTAGAAAGGCAATATATATTTAATATATGGTTTGCCTTGTTTTGAAGAAATCCTGTCAAATACAAGGACGGGTTGCTTATATATAGTTTAAAAATGTCTAGCCCTGACCGTGTGAATTTTGTAAAGTACTTACATTGTAAACAGAACATGTGGAATTAAATCCCTTATTCTATATGGTTTGCTAAGTCTTTGACT